GACGGTGTTGGGGTAGGAGCTGTGTCAGCCTGAAGTAGAAGGCCGCAGACCCTATGGCAGGTGCAGGGCTCATGTCCACACCTGGGGTTCAGGGAGCCCTGGCTTCCAGACGTGGCCCTTCCATGGCTTTGCTATGTGTCTGCAGGAAAACCAAAGCCATCTCCAGATCTCAGCACCCACATCTACATCCAGGGACCTGGTCCGTGGTTTCTATGGGCCCCTGCTTGTCTACACCTCAGGCCAAACTCCAGGAATGCCTCAGTGCCTTTTGTGTGAAGGGCTGCCAGGGTTGCAGCCCCGGAAACGGTGGTGGGACCCTAGATGGAGACACCTGCAGGGGGACTTCTGATGGCAGCAGCCCTGTCTTATCCACCTGGGTGATCCTAGTGATCAGCATAGCTCTGGACACTCAGCAGATCTACAGAACATGGTGGTTTAAGCTGAACGTTCTCCATAAGGCCCCCCATTGTTTGCTAAGCTGCCGCATACCCAAGCACCCCAGCCCAGTGCCCAGGGAAGCACGCCCCATCACACTGGTACCCCAGCCAGAAGTACAGCTCAGCAGATCTCAGGAACGTCCCTGCCCACCACCCCACCCATGCCCCTGAGGATGGTAAGCCCTCTGTGCTCCCTGCCCAGCCCGGACTGGTCCCAGCTGGGGAGTTGGGCCCCTGAGCTCAAGGCCTCGTGTGGCCACTGACTAGCTAGGTGATCTTTGATGGTGCCACTTTCCTTCTCTGGCCTCAGTTTCTCCATCTGAAAAATGAAGAACATTTCCCTGCTGCCGACCCCTAATAGGAGTTGTGAGGATGGGATGCTCTTAGGCTGGGGGTGGGGAGGGTGCTTTGGAAGTGGAAGGTGGTGCTCCCTGTGGACTGGGAGCCCCTGGCTGTGGGCTGAGTTTTTGGAGTGAGAACTTGCTGGCTGCACTTCTGCCTAACCAAGGAAGAGCCTGTCCTGCTGAGGTGAAGACTGTCCCTCCCAACACTTGGCACCATCACAACCCTGCTGAACAGTCTACAGACACCACAGGGTCTGTTCTTCTCTCCTTTTACCCTGAGAGGCCATGGAGACTGTTCTGTGGGGTCTCAGAGGGGAGAATACACATGGACTCTTTCTTCCCCTACCCAGACCCAAACCCAGACCCAAAATGCCCCTTCCAAAGGCCCATCTTGCAGCAGGGAAAACCCACTGGGAATGAACCCAAGAGCTGACCTCTACCTGCACAATCGGTGTCTGCCCCTGAAAACTCACGCTTCTCCTTTCTGAGCCCACTGGTGTCTCACAGATGTCAACTCTGCTCCCCTCAAAAGACAGGCTAACCTTGCCTCCAGACTGAACACTAGCCCCTGCCTCGGGCTGAGCCCTAATCCCTGCCCCAGACCAAGTCTGACTTATCCCTATACTGAGCCTGCCCCCAGCCGGCCAGTCATTCTACCAGGAGCATCAGGTGACAGAGTGTGATGGCTCAGTGCCACCCTCCCCCGCGAGGGGCCTCAGCCCCCAACAGGTCCTTCTGAGGCTGGGTCAGGAGCACAGTCCCGGTCTACGGAGGACAAGTCCTTTATCATCTGAGCAGCTGGAACCAACCTACAGGAAAGGGAGTGAATGCTGGTCTGAGGGCAGAGGCAGGGGATCCTCTTGGGCTTTCTTGGGGGCTCCCGGGCTTAAATTTGTTCTGGAAACAGAGGAAAAAATCAGAGAGCTGTTGTGGGCAGACCTGAAGAGGCTTCTCAGCCCAACACATGAGTCTGGTGCCCCAAAGGGCCTTGAGCCCCTGGAATGTCCCTCTCCCACCATGCCCTGCCCTCTCCAAGCCCCCACACCCTCGCCAGTGTGGACACCTCCCAGCTCAAAGCCAACTCCTCTTGCAAGCACTCTGGGGTGGGGGGCACCTTTACACAAGGCTGGAATGCACCAGGGCCTCTTCTTCCAGGAAACCTTATTTGTATACTTGCTCTATACCATCTTCCCATCTGTAAATTCCTTGAGGGCAAGAATGATGGTGTAGTCAAGCTTGGAGTCAAGGGCCTGCCTGCATTGGAGCCATGTCTTCACTCCTTCCTACCAGATTCATTTCACTGCCCTGATAATTAGCTCCCACGGTTGTAAAGTGGGGATGACATTTAACAATTGATGACTTATCCCACCAGATTCACTGAGTGGTTGTGAGCATTAAATGTGCATGAGCCAAGTTGCAAGTGTTTTTTAAGAGCCGTGCAGTTCTCAGCAGCACTGCCACTTTTATCATAGCCGACGTTCACCAGCAGGGTCTCCTTGACCCTGTAAACACACACATGTTGCCGAATTCAGTGAGATCAAATTGCCCCCCTTTTCTGTGTGAGCCCTCCCACCTGGCTTGTAGAACACATCCACATGAGTTTTTAATCTCTGGGGCTTAAGACTAACAGAGGTTTGGCTTTCTGTAAAGAAAATATTTGCTGAGATCACAAGGGGATTATTTGAGACTGTAGAAGGAAACCAGCCAGCTGGTTCTTTAAATGTCCTGGGACTTACATCACCCTCCCGTATGTAAACCACGTGCTAGTTACAAATGGTTCTTACCTATGTTCTAGGAAGGCCTGACAGGACTCTATAGTTCCCAGTCTGTGGATAATTTGAAAATCATAGCCCCATATTTCTCTACCTCCAGACCCCTGGGTATTCTTGCTGCCTGGGGCAGGACGCCTGAGCTGATGAAGTGTGTTCAGGACTCAGAAAAAACCGAAAAACCAAACCAGTTGCCAGCAAGTTGATTCTGACTCATGGCCACCCTATCTGTGTCAGAGTAGAACTCTGCTCCATAGGGCTTTCAATGGCTGTGACCTTTCAGAAGTAGATGGCCAGGGCTTTCTTCCAAGGAGCCTCTGCGAAGACTCGAACCACCAACCTTTCAGTTAGCAGCCGAGTGCATTAACCGTTTGTACCTCCTAGGGACTCCCAAGGCTCAGTACAAAACTAAACCAAATGCATTGCTATCGAGTCAATTCCAACTCATAGCGACCCTACAGGACAGAGCAGAACTGCCCCATAAGGTTTCCAAGGAGCAGCTGGTGGATTCGAACCGCCAACTTTTTGGTTAGCAGCCAAACACTTAACCACTGTGTCACTTTAGAGCCCCTGTGTGTGTCCCTACACTGGCAGGCTGAGAAGCTTGGAGGATCCCCAAAGAAGAAGTCCCAGGGGACCTCACAAGAAGAAACAGATCCTACCAGGAAAGGGAGGGGACTGAGGCTGCTAGAGCTCAAATAAGACATGAGGCTGACATAGCTACCCACTGTCTTCAAATGCTGGAGATGACTGTTAGTAGGGTACCTCACCCAAATACATATCTCAGATTCACAATCAAGCAAGAGAAACTGAAGTCACAAAAGGGTAGTTTCCAACACTGGACAGGGAGGTAGGGAGTAATGGAGCCCTGGTTTTTAGAACCCTGGTGAAGAAGTCAGGAGTGATCTCTCCTGGGAAGGTCAGTTAGTGGCAGAGGCTGCCTCCCCGCCTCGCAGTGCAGGCCTCTGAGACTTTATGACTGGCATGGATGAACTATTTTCTACTACATAACATATACATATAAGCAGATGGTTTGGTAAAACTTGCAGAAACTTGAAGAAAGAAAAAGACAGTAAATGGAAAGCAAAAAAAAATAAATAAATAAAGTATTTTCCAATATAATGGAATCATTGTGCGTGTAGGGAAAACATGGCTGAACCACCCAGGCCCTGTGCCAATCCCCCACCCACAGGGGAAGGGCTGGACAGACAGACAGACCAAGAGCATGGAAGCCCCATGGAGTTTTAGGGAAGAATCTGGGATTCGGTCTCTGAGCAGCTCCTGACATCCCTCTCTCTGGAAGAATGGCTGGGTGGTGAGAAGCCCTCTGCTGGGATCCCTCCCCTGTCCCACTTCTTGTCCCAATGGGCAGTCTTCAAGGTTCTGAGCCCCAGGTCGGGGTCTCTAACGAAGGTAGGACTAAGCGCCCACTGATGCTGTGAAACTATCCTGGCTCCTTCTAACTTCCTATCTTCAAAAGGAACTGAATAAGCAACACATATGCGTCTACATCACGCATGGACAAACCCCCCAGGGACTGCCCCCAGAATCAAACTGTGCCCATCCGGCCCCTCCAGCCAACCACAGGGAGAGATCTTCCTCCTCAGCATCAGAAATGCCCCATGCCTCAGACACCCAGCTGGTCATGACCCCACTCCCAAGGCCAGAAAGAGGAAGTGGAGGAGCTCTGTGGGACTTCAGAATGGGACAAGGGCTGGGAGAGGGATAGGAAAGAACAAGGAAGGGAAGAAATTCCCCAGGATAAACTGTTAAGGACGTGACTACAAAAATGTGTCCAGGAAATCAAATGGCCATGAAAAGAAAAAGCTCTACACTCAATGTTAAGAGGTTGCCTGCAAACCCTATCAGTCCCAAACATCAGATTTTCACATGTTCAGGGAGAAGGGAATTGCAGAAATAGGATCAACACAGAAGTAGAGCTATCCTGAGGGGAGGTGCAGAAGAGAAAGAACCATTCCCTTCCCACACCCAGACCAGTGAGACCCTGGCTCTCTAGTGGGTCTCGAGCAACTTCTGCACACTAGGCTGGGGCTGCGGATATTAGACAACTGCATATCCAGTGGTGCTCGTGAGCTTCCCACAGAAACAAGATCCCCAAAGGAAACCTAACTTCTAAACAATCAAGACCCTAAGAACCCTAGGGAATCTGGTGTTTTCCATCTTGATTTTTCTAGAGTCATGCAGGATCTGTTCATCTCTTTCCCTCTTTTCCCTTCCATGTAATGACCATGCAGATTAGGAGCTCTTGGGTTGGCTGGAGGCTGGGCGGGCAACTATATTTTGAAGGTACTTTATTAAGAAAACAATCTTTCAGTTGTCCACGCTAGGTCACCTGTCATCAAAGCCCAGGCGTTCCCCTGCCTGTGATCTGAGTGCAGGGCCCACAAGGCTGGTGGGAGTGGCTGAAGCGTCTACACAATAGTACTTACAAGTAGATGCTAGACTCATTGCCTCCCATGTCTGGAGATTGAAGTTTCTGCACAAGGATGATGATGATGCCAATGAAAAGCACGAAGTTAACCTGAGGAACAAAGAAAAAACAGATGGAAATGACTCTGGGCAAAGACTTTCCACACACTTGCCTCTGCATAGGCTGTTATTCTCCAACAGTGCCCCCCCAACCCACACCTGTCAAGATTCCATCTAGACTTCAAGTTCAAAACGGCAGCATGAGAATACTTATCTCCCCAGCCTCCACCAATATCATTGAAATGACAGAAGAGAGAAAAGAAAAAAGAAATCCATAGTAGTACCGGGAAACAGAAAAGAGCATCATGAGTCAGCCAAAAGATTGAGCAATTTCCGGAAGAGAAGGAACAAATGGGATCGGGGTGATGGAAAAACTACAATCCAAAACACAGAGGCTACTGCAGAGGTGAGAGCTGTTCTCTGGAGAAACTTCAAGTTCAGAGTCATGGAACATGGGGAACAGGAATGGACAACATAGCATTACTAATTAAAGGACTTCCTGGAGAATAGTGATAGCAGAGGTTGCCTTCAGATAAGGATCAGGAACACAAGCTCTCTAAACAAAGTGGGGAGCCGTGTTTATGGTGAAAAGAGAGGAGAGAAGGAACAAATAAACAGAAACTGGTACGATGAGAGAACTACTCATCCGCAACTTTGGGATGCGGCCAAGGCAGTACTCAGAGAAAAATAGAGAGCCTAAGCCTAATTTACTAAAAAGAATAAACACTGAAAATAAAATAAGTAAGCATTCGAATGAAACAGCTATGGAAAAATTACCAAAAATTTAACATAGAAAAGAAGAAAGAATTAATAGAGATAAAAATTCATAACGAAGACATAGTAAACTTGATCTATAAAAATAAAGTCTTAATTTTTTGTTTGTTTTACACAGCAATTAGAAAAATAAAGCAGGCTTTAGGAAGGCAGGATTCTGATCTCTTGTTCTACATGTTCTAGGTAATCTACCTAGAATACAGCTCAGTGTATACTGCTAAATGCATGTGTCCATCAATCTGAAAGGAGAAAATGCAATTCAACAAATTTAGGGATGAGAAAGAGGGCAAGACAATCTATGAATAGAATATTTTTAAATCACAAAAAGAAAATCAAACAAAATGGGAAATATGAATTAACTCAAGAAGATGTAGAAAATCTGAGTAGACCAAAGAAATCAGAAGAAATTTAAAAAGGACGCAAAGAATGTGCTAAAAGGCACCAGGCCCAGATTTTGTAAACCAGGTTCATAAAGCCTTCCAGGAAGATGTAATTTACATGCTGTAGAACTGTTTCAAAGCAAATAGACAGAAAATCTCCCAAATTACCTACCCATGAAGATAACAAACCCTGCTACAAAACCCAGGCATGGGCAGAAAACACACAGACACACCAACACCACAGAACTTATAAATAGCCATGCAAGAACTTACAATAAAATATTAGGAAATAGACTTTAGCAGTATATTAAAAGAATAAACAGATAATGGTCATAAAGGTTTTATCCTAGGAATAAAAAAAACCTACTAATATTAATTACATTAATGGATTAAAACAACATGCTACCATTATCCCCTGTAAGACTGGCAAACATTAAAATGGTCAGTAATACAAACACTGGCAGACATGGGAAACGGCCCTTTTGAACCCTCCCGGCTCATGGAAGGCAATATGATATCCATGGAAGCGTTAAATGTACACACATGCTTTGTCCCAGAAATTCTACTCCTAGGGATTTATCCCAAAGAAATATTCACGTGTGCTCAAAGATATGCACAAATATATTCACTGTAGCATTGCTCAGAGTGAAGAAAAGCTGGAATTTACAAATGTCCATCACTAGGAGAGTGATCCTTTCAATAAATGTCTCCAAATCACATTCAATACAATTTCTGATTTTTTAAAAAAAATACACACTGAAACAAGAATAGAAATCTTCCTAACTCAATGAAGGGTTACTGCCAAAAACTATAGTAAGCATCATTCTCAACAAGAACAAGGAATAAAAAGTGTAAATATTCAAAAGGAAGTGTAAAAACTATTTTTGTTCAAATTATATGATTTTTCTACAAGAAAATCCATAAGAACCAACTGAAAAGTAATTAGAACTGGTAAGAGAGTTCAGAAAGGTAACCAAGAAAAGAAAAAAATATATACAAAAACCAATAGCTACCTGTATAGCTATTTCCATCAGCAGTAACCCGTTAGAATATATAATGACAGAATGATCCCTAGGCCCAATAAAAGTATAAACTAAAAATTACCCTAGAGAAAAACTACACGAGAACAAGAAAGCAAGCTAGAAATGTTTACCAAAATGACTCTATGAAGGAAGACTGAATAAATGGAAAAGCATGCCATGCTCTTACAAAGGAATAGTCAATGTTTTAAGAAAATCAATTCTCCTTCAAAGTAGTCTACAAATTCAATTCAATTTCTATAAAAATCTCAACTAGACTTTTTTGAAACTTGACAAGGGTATTCAAAAGTTCATCTGAAAGAGTAAATGTGCAAACAATTTTGAAAAAAAAAAAAAAGAAGAAGAAACAGGAAATGAATATACCAGATACCAAAACATACTTCAAGGTTATAGTAACCAGCACAATGGAATATTTGCCACAGGAACAGGTAAATAGATTAGTGACATAGAACAGAGAGTCTGGAACCAAAGACAAGCACAGCATATTGAGTGCTTATGATAAAATGCCATTTCACCATAATAGAGAAAGGATGAACTATTCAATAAAAAGAATTGAGAAAGTGGCATGTGTATCCATTTAGAAAAATAAAATTAGATATCATTTCAGATCTGGCAAAGAAATAAAATTTCAGCTGGATTAAAGACGTATATGTAATAATCCAAGTCCACAATAGTATTATAAAACAATTAAGGAGAATATTTTTATCTTTTAGGCTAGGAAAGTCCTCCATAAACAAGAAATAAAGCTCAGAATTCATAAAGAGAAAGACTGACAGATTTGACTGTATAAAAGCTACGTAGTCTTGGAAATGCACTTACAACATGTGTAATGAATCAAGGGTCACTGTCATTCAAACAGTAAGAAAGACAACAATTTGCTAGAAAAACGGGCAAGAGAAATAAACAGGTAATATCCAGAATAAAAAAACAAATTGTCAAGAAATGTTTGGAAAAAAAAGAAAGTTCAGCTGTACTGCTAATATGGAGAAATGCATATTAAAACAATGAGCTGCCATTATCCCCCACAAGATCGCACAAAAATTTACATGATTATTACAAGTGGTGGTACAAGTGGTTTGCTATTGGCTGCTAACCTAAAGGGTGGAGTTCAAACCCACTCAGTGGTGCCATAGAAGACAGATTTGGCAATCTGCTTCTGTATAGATTACAGCCAAGAAAATCCTATGGAGCAGTTCTACCCCGTAACACATGGAGTCACCATGAGTTGGAACCATCTTAATAGCAATGGGTTATATATATATATCTACATATATACACAATACAATGATATGGAGAAATTGGTGCTACCCTTCTTATGAGTTTTAAATTCTTAAATGGTTTTTAGAAGGCAAATTGGTATCTTAAAATTCAAATGCATATACTTTCTGACCGAGCAATTCCACTTCTAGGTATTTATGCTAAAGAAGTATTCACACATGTTCAACATTATGCACGAAAATATTCCTGGTAGCCTATCTCATAATGAGGAAAAACGGAATAATAGAAATGTCCAACACTAGGCAGAGTTAAATAACTGGCACACAGTATTACAGAATATGACGCAGCCATGAAAAAGGAGGAAGTCGGTTTGTGTGATGACCTTTCATTTCCCCTCCTCGCATGCTTTTCTGCCTAGGCTCCTGTATTTTCCTTTCTCCTCATCTCAAGGACACTCACCATTATCGAGCCAACCACAGGGCCTTTGATCACCCACCACAGAGCCGTGTTGTCATTCATATCCCAGCAGCTGAAAGACAGACAGATGAACATACATAGAGAGAAGAGAGACGAGGCATAGTGGCCAGGACACCAGCAGGACAATGCCCCTGACTCCCTGGGTGTTGCTTTCTCCTGCAGCTCCTTGTGGGGGTGCTGGCTGGAAGGAGAGAGGTCTCAGGCAGCTGCAGCCCCAGCCTGGCCCTGCTTCTTCAGGTGCCCTTGACCTGAGTCTTGTCTTTCCCTCTGCTACCCTGGCAAGGCATCCTTAATGCACTGCCTGTTCACGTAGCCACTGGAGAGAAAGAGCGAGGAGTGGAACCCAAGTTAGGGGTCACCAGTGGGCTTCTGGGAAAGGGCCTTTAGACCTAGGGCACTCAGAGGTGCAACCTCACCCCCAACAGTCTTCCCCACCTCCCCCACCCCGAAAAAGAAAACAGGCACTCCGAAAAGGAAAACAGAAGCAGACAGGGGCTCCGAAACCTTGCACATTCTCTTGTTGGGCTCCTGATTAAGAAGCCGGGTTGGGAGGTGGTGTGGGGGGTGTCCACCTGAGGTAGGGTTAAGGGTCTGGGACCAGAGTTGGATGGTTGGTTTGGGACAGTTAACCTGAAGTCAGGTCAGCCACTGAGAATTGCTCTGAAAGAATCTATCTGTGCTCTAGACCCTGGTTCATGGACGTGTACTCACCCCGTGTCATCGAAGTGGAGCCTCAGCACAGCCCACACTGTCACACACACTGTTGGGGTCCCTGGCAGAGCAGAAAAGGAGACTCAAAATAGCAGGAAAACCAACATGCCTGAGTGTGTCCCTAAGACTTGGGGCTCCTGGGAGCCACTGTCCCCCTCAGACTTGGGATTCTGATGGATGGGGACATGCCTCCCACTCAGACCTGAGGTTCCTGGGGATCATAAATGTCCCTCAGACCCAGTGTCTCTACTAAGACACAGAGTTCCTGGCAGCAGGCAAATCTTGCCTCTCAGATGGACTCCTGGGCATATCTGCTCCCTCAGACAGTGGGCTTCCTGAGGGTAAGAAGAGCAAGAGGAGGTCCAAGAACCAGCAGTCTGCCTCAGCCTAGGGGAACCAAAGGCACACCGGGTCATGAGGCTTGAGCCTGTCTGGCCACAACAAGCAACCTACCCCAGCCAATAATGGTGTACCAGTAGAAGTATCTTCTCTCGGGGAAGAAGGTCTCCACCAGCAGAGTGAAGAGGTACAGGCCTTCAATGAACAGCCAGAAGTAGTTGGACACCACGCAGTAGTGGAAGAAAACCATGACGGCCTTGCACTCCACCTTCAGGGAGAGCCTCAAAGTCAGCACAATGAAAATCCAGCCCAATGGGACCAGCCCTTCGGCTCTGGCATATGAGGGCTAAAATATCCAAAGGATCTGAGAACCAACATTCTTGGATTCAAAGAGTTTAACATTCCAACATCCTATGATCCTGTGAGTTGAAGCTCCCCGTGGAGGCACAACTATATATGTAGGAAAAGGATGGGTGGACGAATACAGCCCCCCTCCCCTCCTCAACTCCCACACTCACTGTCTCCCATTTCCTGCCCTCCCCCCAACTCCCACAAGTGTGCCTCATCAGTAGGAAGAGAAGCAGTGCAAGGTCCCTACAGGAGGGTCCCTGGTATAAAGAGTATTCAGACACCACACAGGTGGGGCCCCCAGGAAATTCAATCACAGATGAAAAAAAAAAAAAAACCCTGCTGCCATCAAGTTGATTCCGACTCATAAAGGCATGCCTGGCCAGGACAAGGGTCTGAACTCTGGCCTACTCTTTCTATCCTACCACATCAAAGCCCATCTTCTCTATGTACCACCTCTCCAAAAGATATGAGAGTTGGGGAGTGTCCCGGCAAAAACCTAAGCAAATCAGCATCTTAGCACTGTCACGGACTAGTTATGTGACCAGGAACCATTCAAGCCCTCTCTCTGAGCCTGTTTCCCCATCAGTCAAATGAAACTTGGCATTCCCATCTGACCTTCCTCAAACTGTTCTGCCAAGTAAAACACACACCAGAGAAGAAATGGGTAACATTTTGGTTAGAAATGACTTCAGACAGAGGTTTATTGGCTAATGTCATGGATTGAATTGTGTCCCCCAAAAATATGTATCAAATTGGTTAGGCCATGATTCCCAGTATTGTGTGGTTGTCCTCTCTTTTGTGATAGATATAATTTTTCTGTGTGTTGTAAATCCTAATCTCTGCCTGTGGTTAATAAGGCAAGATTGGATTATTTTAAAGAGGATTAGGGTGGGATGTAACACCCTTACCCAGGTCACATCCCTGATCCAATGCAAAGGGAGTTTCCCTGGGGTGTGGCCTGCACCATCTTTTATCTCTCAAGAGATAAAAGGAAAGCGAGCAGAGAGGAGGGACCTCATACCACCAAGAAAGCAGCACTGGAAGCAGAGCGAGTCCTTTGGACTCAAGGTTCCTGCATGGAGAAGCTCCTAGTCCAGGGGAAGATTAATGAGAAGGACCTTCCTCCAGAGGTGACAGAGAGAGAGAGCCTTCCCCTGGAGCTGGCACCCTGAATTTGGACTTCTGGACTACTAGACTGTGAGAAAATAAATTTCTCTTTGTTAAATCCATTCACTTGTGGTATTTCTGTTATAGCAGCACTAGATAACTAAGACAGCTATAATAACTTTATAGGAGTTCCTGGGTGGTGCAACAGTTAACATGTTCAGCTATTAACTGAAACGCTGGCAGTCTGAGTCCACTCAGGCTCCTCAGAAGAAAATCTTAGAGATCTACTTCTGAAGTATCAGCCACTGAAAATCCTATGGAGCACAGTTCTACTCTGACACACATGGGGTCACCATGAGTCAGAACTGACACTGACGGCAACAGGTTTGGTTTCTAATAGCCTCATGTGTTACTCGGGGTTTCCACGTAAACTGGGGGTAATGCCTTACTCTTCAGGAGAACACTGGGATGGTGAGCTGTCAGGCAGGCAGAGAGAGAGTTCTCCTCCTGAAAGGAGGCTGGGGAGCCTTCCTAGCAGGGGTCCCCACAGGCCAGCTTCTGGCCTGGGCCCTCAAACCCGTGCACTGGCTCAGCTCACTCACGGTGGAGATGAAGCAGTGGTTGTTGTCCTGCTCTGCATACAGGATCCAGTCTTTGATGAAGACAGAGATCGCCCTCAGCATGAACGACACAAACAGATTCATGTGGATGAAGTTGCGAGTGCAGTGTAGCTTCCTACATGAGAGGCCAGAGGAGGAGGAAGCAATGAAGCAGTGAACCCAGAAGCATTTCAAAGTCTTGACTCTGGAGTCTGCTCAGTGGCAACTCCAAGGTTTTGTCATAATGGGATTCCCCCACCCCCAAACTTAGACCACCCCGTTTTCCACCTCTCTAGATCTTACTCACTTCCTGGCCCCTGCAGTCTAGCCCCACTGCTCCATGTGGCCAGACTTCCTCCCTCCTGTGACCTCCTCTCTCTATCTATACGAGGGAGAGAAAAGAGCCCTAGACCAAAGGCAAGGAAGGTAGGTCTCCTTGCCCAGGTTCTGCTTTGCTGTGTGACCTCAAACAAGTCAGCTGTCAGCTCTGGGTCAAGTTTCCCATCTGTTATCCTAGGGGTGTGGGAAATGCCATCCAAGGGATCTTCCAGGACTGACATCAGGGGGGCAAATGGGGTGGGGAGAGAAACAGCAAGGCCTCTAAGGCCCTGGTTCTGAGCAGGGGTGGGGCTGTGGGTGCGCCCATGCTGCTGGTGGTCTTACCGGAAGCGACACAGGATGACCATGGCAGTGGTGAGGGTGACAAGGGACGTGCTATAGCCAACTGTGTACAGGGCCTTCACCGACAGGTAGTAGTAGTCCTGGAGCAGAGCACAGGGCATATAGGGCTCCACATAGTGCCTTGCACATGCCAGGCCACCTAGTTCTCCCTCAGAACCACATCCAGTACCCCCTTGGAACCAAACCAGTCTCTAGGGCCAGGACCCACCCACCTCCAGCCCACCACCCATCTCCTCCTCCCAATCGCACTTCCTCCATGCCCCCTATCAGTGCCTCCACCTCCACGTGACACACCCCCACCTGCACTAAGCTACTTACTCCTGTCTGGGCAGTGCCATGCACACAGCAGAGACTTAATAAATGCTTGTCGAATGCAAGGATGATATTCTAATATGGCAGGGGCACTGACCAATCAGAATAGGCACCAGCCTTAGAGCTGGAGAAGGGACCAGGAGGCCCCCTACTGGGCCCAGCATTATCCCTTCAATTGCTGGATCATTAGGAGTCCGGGTGTCCTGGAAGAAGATCCAGGGTGGCAGGGGACACATGGTGGGGGTGGGGTGGGGAGATCAGGCAGCACACCAGCTAATTCTCAGCCCAGACTGAATGAGTGAATGTCCTCCCCTCAGTGCATCTGGCTTGGGTACATAGGAGGTGCTCATGAAGGCTGGCTGATTGCACACATTGCCCAGAGCTGAGTGTGCTGCAGTTCCACCAGGAGTCAAGGTCCCCAGGAAAATGCCCCTTCACCCCTACCCCTCCACCTGGCAGGGCAGACACTCACCTGGTCCCCCGTCTCAGATTCGTACTCATCAAACCCACAAGCATCAAAGTAGTGAGGGAAGGGCTCCGACCAGCCGTCCTCCGTGCAGTTCCGGCTCACCACTCCCATGTCTGCAGTGAACAGAGAACTCGGTGAGGCACGAAGGGACTTCAAAGGGCCCTGAAATTCTTATTGGAAAGTTACTTCTTAAGTGGGAATTCCTAGAAATCCATGTGCCCATCTAGGAAGCATAGGAACTGAAGGCTCAAAAAATCCTCCACTGTCGGACATTATGCTGAGTGAAATAAGTCAATCACAAAAGGACAAATATTGTATGAGACCTCTATTGTAAAAACCCATGAAAAAGTTCACACACAAAATGTAACAATCTTTGTTGGTTACCAGGGATGGGGGGGGGATACTAAATAAGCAATAGATAAGTGGTATCTTGGGTGGGTGAGACAGTACACAATACAGGGGAAACTAGCACAACCTGTACAAGGAAAGGTCATGGAAGCCCCATAGACACATCCAAACTCCCTGAGGGACTGAATTGCTGGGCGGAGGGCTGTGGGGACCATGGTCTCAGGGAACATCTAGCTCAATTGGCATGACATAGCTTATAAAGACAATGCTCTACATTCTACCTTGGTGAGTAGTGTCTGGGGTCTTAAAAGCCTGTAAGCAGCCATCTAAGATACTCCACTGGTCTCATCCCTTCGGGAGCAAGGGAGAATGAAGAGAACAGGATACAAGGAAAAGATTAGTCCAAAGGACTAATTGTCCACAGCTACCAAGGCCTCCACCGGACTGAGTCCAGTACAGCTAGATGGTGCCCAGCTACCACCACTGACTGCTCTGACCAGGATCACAACAGACGGTTCTGGACAGAGCTGGAGGAGGATGTAGAGCATAATTCTAACTCACAAAAAGAAGACCAGATTTACTGGCCTAAAGCAGACTGGAGAAACCTCGAGAGTATGGTCCCCAGACACCCTTCTAGCTCAGTGGTGAAGTTACCTCCGAGGTTCACTGTTCAGCCTGGGAGTGGACAGCCCTGTAAAACCAAATGAGACTAACGAGGTACAGGAGTCCAGTGACAAGGGCCAGAGGCAGAAGGGTACAAGGAAGCTGGTGATAGGGAACCCAAGGTTGAGTAAGGATATTGTTGATGTGTTGTGAGATTGTTAACCATTGTCGTAGGGCAACATCTGTAGTAACTGTTAAATGAGAAACTATTTTGTTCTGTAAGCCTTTGTCTTAAATGAGAATAACAGCACAATTGGAAGAGAGTAGTCAATGTCACTGAACTGTGTATGTAGAAATTTTTGAAATGGTGTCTTTTTGGCTATGTGTATTTTCACCAAAAAAAAAAAAGGTTCAGAATTTAGAGGGTTAATATGTTGTGGGGTTGTTAACCAATGTCATAAAACAACATGTGTACTACTGTTTCATGAAAAACTATTTGTTCTGTAAGCCTTCACCTGAAGTACAATAAAATATTTAAAAAAAAAAAAATCTTCCACTGTCTGGGGAAATTAGTGATTGTTGATGGCCTGGAACGCATGAGCTCAGCCCTTACTAAGGACACCCCAGGAGGGTAGGGGATGTGCAAGGGATAAGCTGGTATCTTAACAAGGCGTGAGGGGACTAAGCCGGGCTGAATCCAGCATCCCTGCATCTCTTTCTTCCAGAACTAGCAAATGCTTGCCAGGGGAAGGCCTGAGCCATTGGGGCAGCACTTCTCAAACTTCAGTGTGCATGACCGGGAGACTCAAAAGCAGTTTCCTGGCCCAATACCCCCAGGGATTCTCATTCAGGAGATCGGGGTGAATCCCAGAATCACCTCAGGGGACTGTGAGGTGCCGTTGTCCCCACACCCTGAGAAGCACAGCTCCCAGCAGCCGCAATACCCTCACCACCGGCAAAGACAGACAAATGAGGACCCAGCCTTCGCGAACACGGCACCAGACCTCCACTAGCCTAGCAGGAGATCTGATTAAGATATCTGGTTAGGCTTTAAAAACAAAGTTTTGCCTTTCAGGCCTTGGGGTCTGTTTCCTGTCACGAACATACTATAATTTTCTTTTGATCAACTTTAAAGGCAATTTTGTGGGACTCCCAAGGGGGCGGGACCAGTCATGGCCATTAAGAGTCATTTGCTGGCTGCAGAGTGGACTCTGGGCTGTTTCTCCACTGCGCCTGAGGCTGTTTTAACCTTTAACGATTGCTCCTTGCATTCTCCTCTCCCCGACTGTCTGCAAGAGTGAGCCATAGATGTCCAGGGGAGGGGAGCAGGCAAGCAGTCTCCTTTTACTCCAGTCCAGCACCTTTTTCCAGACTGGCTTCTAGGGAGTTTGCTCGGTGTATTGGGATGGGGGAAAGGCTCACTTTACAGGCAGGCACGTGGGGATGGTTCTCCCTTTCATGTTGCTATTGTTGTTAGTGGTCATCGAGTCAATTCCAATTCATGGTGACCTCATGTGTGCACAGTAGAACTGCTCCATAGGGTTTTCAAGGCTATGAGCTTTCAGAAGCAGATTACCAGGCCTGTCTTCCCAGGAGCCTCTGGGTGGGATCAGACTGACAACCTTTCGGCTAGTAGTCAAGTAAAGTCCACCCAGGGACTCCTCTCCCCCCCATAGGACTCAAAACATAAAAAAGGTTGCCGACGAGTCGATTCCAACTCATGGTGACCTCATATGTTGCTGCAAGTAGAATTGTGCTCCATAAGATTTTCATGGCAGTGACTTTTCAGAAGCAGATCGCCAGGTGCTTCTCAAGAAGCTCCTTTGGGTGAGTTCAAATCACCAACCTTTTGGTCAGCAGTCTAGCACTTAACCATTTGAGCCCTCCAGAGACCCTCATAGGACTCAGGGACCAGGAAACTATGTACAACAAGAGACACTTGGAGAAAAGGAGCCCTTGCACCCATGTTGCTGGGCATAAGCCTCCTCTCTGCGGCCAAGGGCCATCTCTGGGGACTCAGGAAGGAGGCACAGAGAAGATCAGGGAGATGTCCAGGCAGAAGGCAGAGGCCAAGAGAGGAGACCGCTTCATTTTTCCAACCTTTGTATCCTCGCTGTGTTAAGCTGGAAGGTCTGAGGCCAGTTCTCCTAAGCCAAGAGAGCTGGAAACACACCCCTAGGATCTTTGGAAGCAGCAGAGGGTGACTGAGCTGGCCTAAAACAGTTCTCCCCAGAGTGAGAGCCTGTCTCCATCACTTCCCCAATTCTGAGTTCTCTGACACGAGACGCAGGAGGCTTGGCAAGCCCAGCGAGAGAAAGGAGCTCACTCCTATCCCACAGTGAGATGCCAAATGCTGGCTTCTTTCAGCAAAGCCATTTCAGGCTTCTCCTGGCAACCTCCTTCTCAGTCCCTCTGAACACTCTTTTGAGAAACTCTGAATGTCCCAGGGGAATCGCTGCTTGGGCCAAGTCCCGTCCCTTCCCTGGGCCTCCTTTCCTCTCTGCTGTGCCCCCAAGAGGGTGGTGGGAAGAGGAAAGGGAAGCTGCTTTGAAACACAATAATAAAAGTGTCCTAGAGATAAAAGCCGTTTCCTTTCCTTTCTCTCTTTCTTTTTATAACACATACAGTGTGGGCTCAGAAAAGTATAAACTGTTTTGTTCAGGACTGTTTCATGAATTTGCACCTCTATTGTTCTGACAGAAATCCCTAGCACACGGAGTGCTCTCCAGATTGTCAAAACCCTGCACTGATTGTGTCTACTCCATGAGAACTACCTAGGCCATTTTGCTCCAGCAATTTCATAGGGGACACAGGATTTTTAGCATACAGAATGTTAGGGCAGTGGTTTCCAAAGTGTGACCTCCCCACACCAGCCCATCAGCATCATTCGGGAGACTGGTTAACGAAAAAAACCAAACCAGCCGCCGCTGAGTTAATTCTCATCCCTGGCGACCTCATGTGTGTCAGAGTAGAACTGTGCTCCACAGGTTTTTCAATGGCTGATTTTTGCAAGTAGATCACCAGGTCTTTCTTCCAAGGTACCACTGGGTGGACTCCAACCTCCAACCTTTCAGTGAGCATCCGCGTGCGCAACTGTTTATGCCACCCATGGATTTCTCGGAGACTGGTTAGAAATGCAAATTATCAGGCCCCACACCGAGCCCTACTAAATCAGAAATTCTAGGGGTGGGGCCCAAGAATCTATGCTTTAACACGCCCTCCAAGTGATTATGATACACAATTAAAGTTTGAGAGCTACTGCTCTATAGGTCAGAGTTTAAAAACTGTCAGGGACCGTCTAACCCAGGAGTTCTTCACTTGAAGTCCGGGATGGGGCTTCAAGAGATCTGAAACTCCCCTGAAATTGTACGCAAAATGTTCAGTGTGTGCTCAAGTGCAATTTTTAGTGGATAAAATGCGTAGATTTAACAGAGAAGGAAAGCAATCTGCCAAAGATCACATGGCCTCAGAGGGGCAGAGTCTGGCCAGATGTGGGTCCCAAGCTCACAGGTCAGTAGAGAGTCCCCTTCAGCCAGTCCGCCATCAACCCCAGTTTATCCCCTTACCTGAGAGATCTAAGGAGTTACTGTCAGCGAAGTCAAACTCTCCTGCAAAACACAGATACAGGACGAGTCAAAACTCCTAGTTTTTCAGCATGCCGTGGCTACCCACTGTTGATGCCCCACCCTGAAAGGCCAAGGCTGCCCCTGGAACCAGAGATGGCTTCTTGACCAACAGGCAGCATCACACACAGCAGGTGCACATCTCTCCGACACATTGCACCTTCTAAAGCCAGCCTCACTTGGTTCGCATTTCTCTGACGCTCAGGCTAGGCCATAACTCGGTTTCCCCTCTGGAACCATAGGAAATGGGACACTTTTAGGGGGATGTAATGGTGAGGGCCTCCGGAGCACAGGAGGAGTCAGAGGAAATGGAAAAGGATAATTGGGCCTTTTCAATAAAGGGGCAAAGAACAGAAGCCTGGGCCCAGGGCTTGGGGTTTCTTCTTAGGTCCTTAACCCTGCCTCTTAGCCTCCAAACTGCTCTCATTGAAGGGAACACAGAACTCCAAAGACTTTATCCTCACAACACTTTTCCTCCTCTCCCTACTACAGTATTTATTACCAGTTCTGATCTCTCCTCACGCCCAATCCCTTGCTAGCAATGAAGCTCCATTTCCACTTCTCAAAATCCAAAGCCCAGCTGGTAGGCCACCTCCTCCAGGAAGCCTTCCCTGACCTCTTCTTCATTCTGTCTGCATGCTGCATAGTTAGGTCTCTTCTGTTCTCTCACCTGCTGTACATCTCCTTCTCGGCCACCAGTGACATCATATTTGTGTGGACTCACACACACATTCAAAGCTTGAATGTACGCACACGCATGTGCCTATGTGAACATACAGGCTTGCTCTTTAACCCTTCCATTTGTGAATCTCATCCTCCCAAACAAGCCCATGAGTGCCCTGAGGTAGGGACTGTGTCTCCCGTCTTCCTGTGCACCCCCACTCCAGTATGGCCAAGGAGGGATGAGCTGAGATGGGGGCAGGAGGGCAAAACCTGATCCCTGATGGACCTAGCATTCTACCCCCACCCAACCCCCTCAGCTAGACACTGAGATCTCCTGATGCGGGGTTCCCGCTGGATGGGCAGATGGACAGCAGCCTGTCCTCACCAAGGTTCCTCTTACCGATGGTGCCGGTCTCCCAAACTGAAACACAGAGAGAGAACACAGAGGTGAGTGAGGAGACTGAAGTTGGGGTCTGCTCTCACTGGACCCCGCCGGTCACTTTCCCCCTAACCCCCCAAAACTGGAGACAGACTCTGCTGGGGGCACAGAAGGGTAGAAGACTACAAGCTGGCGACCAGCTGGGGACACTGGAGACTTCTACCTCTACCTCCAGATCAGGAAAAACAGTTAAAGAGAAATGAGGAGGGCACTGAAGAGCAGGAGAGAGATCAGTGCTACAACACCCTGAAAAGAGACAGCTACTACAGTGAACGTGAAATTCAGCCCTGAGCTACCAAGGAACCAAGAAATCAAATGAGAAATTGCATGCCCTCCCTTCTAAGCATTTAAGGCAAGTCTCACTAATCAAGCTTTGGGAAAACGGTGCTAAAAGGCCCTGCCTTACCAAACCATGTAAACAGCAAGCTCACTATGGGATTGCCACTGGGGAGGGAGGGATTCAGTCTGGAGAAAAGTGTAGCTGAAGCAAATCTTGTTTCACTGTTGATTCATTTTGCATTTTTTCTGTTGACAAGGAGCAGTCTTGGCGTGGTACCTGACACATGGCAGATGTTCAGTAAAGTTTCAATAAATGGCTGAATGGAAGGAATGTATGAATAAAGGAAGTGATTCAGTTGGTTTCTATGGAATGAATCAGAGACGGGCTGCATCCTGGCTCCCACAGAGCCTGCCGCCCCTAGGCTCAGGTACCCTCAGTTCAGCATCTCCCTGTCAGTCTCCTTTTTCAAATCCACTCTCAGTTCCTGCTCTGGGTCACACCCAGTCCCCAAGCGCTCAGGATGGGAGAGGTTAACTGACACCCTCTTTCTGGGCTGGTAGGAGGCCTGGAGGTGGGAGGTGTGGCAAAGAGGCCCCAAAAAGAAGGTGGCGGGAGGCAAGACAGGGTGCACCACCCATAAGCCTGCCTTCTCTGGTCTTGGAGGCCCTGAGTGGTACAAACAGTTAATGCACTTGGCTGCTAACAAAAAGGTTGGAGGTTCAAGTCTACCCAGAGGTGCCTCAGAAAAAAGGCCTGGAGATCTACTTCTGAAATATCAGTCACTGAAAACCTTATGGAGCACAGTTCAATTCTGACACACATGGGGTCACCATAAGTCAGAATCAATTCAATGACAATTGATTTGTTTTCTTTTTTTTGGTTTGTTTGTTTTTAGTTTCTCTGGTTTTGAGGCTAGAGCCAAAAACAGGGGCCTGGGGCCCCAGCACAGCTGCAATTCCCCTCTACAACCTCCCACCAGCACCTTCCCCTCCAGGATGGACTCAGGGTTGCTAGACTCCAAGGTTAGAAAGAGAAGTTGCCTTTTGCCTCTCATGGGACAGAAAGAGCCTGTCAGGTGAGCCTGGTGAGGGGACTGTGGCAGACAGGACTCCTGACAGAGTGGAGCTTGGAAACTCTCCACTTGGAGGACTTCAGCCTAAGCCTGAGGCAGGTGAAGGAGGAAGCTGGGGCCCAGGTCAGAAGGGACCTGTGCATGGCCATGCATCAGACCCCTCCTGATCTCCCCAGGAGCCCCCGCCCTCCATCTTCCTCTAACTGACACCCTAGCTTCGCACTCAGGGGTCCATGGTTTTTGGTACATCAGCTGCCTGGAGCCCAGCCCCACCATCTCTTCCTGTCCAGCCCTAAATCAGTGCTCTCAGGGTCTAGCCCTGCCTCCTTTGACACCCACAAGGGGTAGTGGGGAGGATCCTTCCCAGAGTCACAATGGACTTCAACTTTCTTTGGGGTCCACAAGGCCTTGGCTGAACGGCTGGAACTGGCCACTGGACCCACATCCAAAGCAGAGCCTGGGGTTCCAGACAGTATCTGAGTGGGTCTGTGAGTGTGTCTGCGGGTGAGGGTCTTTGTGTCCAGCTGCCTCCTGCACATGTCTCATTCTGCTGGTGAGCACCTTTGTGTCAGTATGAGTGATGATGACGGTATTAGCTGGCATCTATTACTGAACATGGTTTCCATGTGTATCACTTCACTTTACTCCTCACAAAGCCACCTGTCATGGATTGAATTGTGTCCCCCCAAAATGTCTGTCAACCTGGCTAGGCCATGATTCCCAATACTGTGTGATTGTCCACCATTTTGTCACCTGATGTGTTTTTCCTGTGTTGTAAATCCTACCTGTGTAATGTTAATGAGGCAGGATTAGAAGCAGCTATGTTAATGAGGCAGGATTCAATCTATAAGATTAGGCTGTGTCTTAAATCATTCTCTTTTGAGATATAAAAGAGAAGTGAGCAGAGAGGCAGGGGAACCTCATAACACCAAGAAAGAAGTGCCAGGAGCAGCACATTCTTTGGACTCGGGGTCCCTGCACTGAGAAGCTCCTAGACCAGGGGGAGAATGATTACAAGGACTTTCCCCCAGAACCAACAAAGAGAGAAAGCCTTCCCCTGGAGCTGGCACCCTGAATTTGGACTCCTAGCCTACTAGACTGTGAGAGAGAAAAATTTCTCTTTGTTAAAACCATCCATTTTGGTATTTCTGTTGCAGCAGCACCAGATGACTAAGACACCACCTGTGAGGTAGTAACCACACTATTCTTATTCCCCTTTTACAGATTAGGGACCTGGGGTATAGAAAGGTGAATTACCTTGCCGGAGATCCCTAGGAGGGTAAGTGATAGAGCTAGGATCAACTCAATCTGAGAGCATAGCCTTGTTCTTACCAGGGACACCAGCATCTCCACATGCACCTGGTTCCACATCTGAGGGACGCTTCCATGTCCCTATGTGTGTGTGTGTGCCTGTGGTTTCACCCTCCCCACTAGCATGTGAGCTCTGTAGCAGGGATCATCTGCTTTCAATGGCAGCTGGTGTCCTGTAGCCTTGATGCCCAGGAAGCCCTAGGCCCAAGCTTGCAGAGAAGGCAAGACCGAGTGTATCCTGAAGCCCCCTGGGCTGAATATACCTTGGTCTGGATTGAAGATTCGGAAGAGTTCAGGGCAGCTGACGAGGACCATCTCACCCACACGGGCGGGCTTCCAACATGTGATGTTGTCCCACATCCCGGGGCAGCCTGTGAGGAAGAGAACCATGGTGAGCATGGGCTCAGCCATATACACAACACACTCTCACTGAGGGAGGGCTCACACACAGTGTGAGGGGGGCTAACGCACACACACATACATACACACACACACACAGAGGGAGGGTTCACACACACATAAATAATACCATCTGAGGGAGGCCTCACACATATACATTATCTGAGGGAGGGTTCACACACACACACACACACACACTGAGGGGGCTCTCTCTCTCACACACACACTGAAAGAGGGTTCACACACACACACACACACACACACACTGAGGGAGGGCTCTCACACACACTGAAGGAGGGTTCACACTCACATAAACAATACCATCTGAGGGAGGCCTCACACACATCCATTGTCTGAGGGAGGGTTCACACACACACTGAGGGGGCTCTCTTTCTCACACACACACACATTGAAGGAGGCTTCACACATACAGTAAGGTAGCGAGGTGGTCTGTTGGACGTGAGATGGGAAGGAGATGATGTCAAGCTTGACAACCAGATTTTCAGGCCTTGAGGACTGAGTACATCCTCGGACCTTCCTGCCCACCATCCACTCTCTCTTCCTGGACCTGCAAGCCTCTCAGTGGAGTTTTCTGCACTCCCTGTCTTCACCTCATCTCCTCTTTGTGTTTTGTGCTTGTAGCCTGGCTTCTGTCCCCTCTCCTCCACTGAAATGGCTCTTACTAAAGTCATCAATGACCTCTTAACTGCCAAATCCATCCAACACATTCAGCTCTTACTTTCCTGGCCCACGCCAGGCCACACCCATCTCATGGGACACCATCTCTCTGGGACCAATTCCTCTGCAACTGCTTCATTGCAAGTGCTGCCGCCACCCTGGCCTTGGCCCACTGCGCCACTCACCTTGTATGAAGTCATAACACTCATGGACTTAACAACCAGAAGACTTCCAATCCTCCATCTCCAACCACTCCCTGAGGGCTGACTCACTCGTCCAGTGGCCTCCTGGAGACCCTCACCTTCAAGAGCCAGAGACTCACCTCAACAACCCCCTGTTAAAACCTGGTTGCCTGGTCCAGCCTCCAGGTGGCAACCTGGGAGTCCTCCTTCCGTTTCTGCATCCCATCAGTCACCGAGTCCTGTTGGTTTTACCTCTAAATATTTATGGAATCCACCACCTACTCTCTTGTCTTCCCAGCCACCACACAGTTAAGGTTGTAATTACTTTCACTTGGACCATGGTGACAGCCTCCTGAGTGATCTCCTTGCTCAAAGCCCCCCACCCCAAAAAAGCTGAGAGTGTTCTTTCCAAAATGAACATCTTGCTGTGTCATATATCTCACTACCATCAACTGAAACCTTCCAGTGGCTTCCTAGCTCCCTCATATCCCTTAACATGGTACCTAAGGCCCCCTCTGCCCTTCTCATGGCTCAGCCCTCCCTCCTCTTGCTTTTCACTCCAGCATAATGGGAAGTGGTTGAAGCCATGGGATGGGAGAGTTCACCAGAGAAAGGGCGTAAGGTGAGAAGAGCTCGGAGGAGAGAACTCCCATATTTATGAGGTGAGCAGAGGAACTGCACAAAGTGAGGAAATCCAGAGTTAGCAGCCAAAGGTATGGGGGGGAGCAGAAGAACGGCATGTCAGACAGCAGAGAAGATAAAGTTCCACGGAAGGGCCATACCATGCTGAGGGGTCTGTAAGGATGGCCTGTGGAGGGAGTTTCTGTGCCACAGAAGGGAAAGCAGGGTGACCGACAGGGTCCCCTTCACTGGGGTGTTGTGAGGATTAATGAGTTCATACATGCAAACCTCTTAGGGCCTCCTGGGCTGTCAGCATTCAGTGCCTGTGCATTATTGTTATTATTATTATTATTTCATTATTGCAATTAGGTGTCCCTGGGAATCATTCCCCTGAGAGAGGCCCAGCTGGGAGCTGGAACAGAGCCCTGCAAAGTCAGAAAGAGGGTTGCTGACAGGTCACAGAGAGAGCCTGGGTAGGGGCTGGTCAGTCAAGGGGCCTGGGCATCCTCACGTGCCCACATCCTCTCTGTTGGAGTCCCTGACTTCTGCATGCTGTTTGGACCAGAAGGCACCCCACAGCTTCTGGGTGCAAACAACCCTGTCCCTCAGAATTCAGACCTGGCTATTTTAGAATTCACAGTCATCACATTGGCTGATAGCCTCCTGCTCACGGAATGGCAGCATGTGGGAGTCAGAGCACCATGGAAAGTTCTGAGTACCACAAACCAAGAACACAAGGGAACTTCCCAGAGGAGGGAAGCTGGGCCCCAGTGTCATAGCAATTATTTCTGTCCACCCATCACAGCAGGATGTCTAGCCAGCACGTGGCCGCCTATGACATCATGTACTTGAAAGAGGCCCAAGGGCCCCATCGTTGGCTGTTGTGTCCTGTGTTGACCGTGGAATAGCCGTAGAGTGTTGTCTTGTTGGGCCCATGCCCTGGGAGCCCTGGCCAGCAGATGTTCCCTTAATGTGGACCATCAGGCCCTAGCACAGCCAGCTGCTACTGCCAGCTGACATTCCTTGAGGTCATGGGAGCACTTTAGATGGAATGAGCAAAGTCTCAAGGGTTGAGGGTCTGGGAGGGATGCAGGGGTCAGGCAGGATGGTGGAAGGGGACAGGAGGACCCCAGGTTGGGGGAATCAGAGGTGCAGAGGCAGGACAGGGATTCATCTCTTTCTTCAACAACTATTTACTGAGCACCTACCGTATGCCAGGCACCATCGAGGCACCAGGGCTACGGCGGGGAAGAACACAAAGCTGTGAAGGTGATGTTTGGGGCAGAGGAAGGGGAAAGGTCAGGGTCTCCCCTCAGCACCTGCACCGGAAGCCACAAGGCCTGAGCTCTAGTCTTCATCTGCCATGGGCTGACTGCAGAACCCTGGCAAGTCTCCATCCCCCAACAGTTGTTTTCCCAGGTGCCAGCAGGGGCTGGCTCTCTAGTGACTAGAGCTCATTTCTGGACCAGAGACTCACTCGAGACATGCTGGTGCCTCAAAGGATGGCCTGGGGGAGGCTGGGGCTCCCTTTCCTCATCCAAGGGGCATCTGCCAAGGCTCCCCCATCCGCATCCTGCCCTACAGCCCAGGGACTGTCAGGATCCATCCCCCACAACTCGCCAAGCCCTCCTGGTGCCTCCTTCTGCTCCCAGCCAGGGCCTCCTTCAGAGACTAAGAGGCCTAAGGACATCTCTGGCCTGCTCAGGGCAGGTGGAAGCCTAGAACTAGACCCCATCCCCAGGGGCCCAAATCCCAGTGTCCCTGACTCCATCTGGAGCTCACAGCCCCCGCTCATCCCTCTGGCCTGCATCACTGGTGTTGCAAGAGTCTCAGAGACGCCTCCTCAGGGCTTCCCAGAATGCCTGCCTGCTCATTTCTCCTGCAGCTATCACCTCCCAGCCTGACCCAGGTGGGAAGAGAGGTGGGCTCTCACTTTCTCTCCCCTCTAGATGGGACCAGCTCTGGCCTCAGGTGCCTCAGATCTGATCCTCGCAGGGGCTCTTTCCCTGGAGCCCAGGAGGGTGGGAGTTGGCTCCTGAGAGAGACTTGGGTTTTTCTCAACCAAAGGGCAGACACTTCTCTTCCTTCCACTCACAGAATAAATCCGGCTTCTGTATCTTCATCTGTTTCACACTCCAGTCCCAACAACACTTTATGGGACTGGGAGATTTCAAGACATCGCTTCTCCTTCTTCTTCTGATGCCCCTTCTCTCCATCTCTTCCTTTCTCTCCTCCTAGGCTTTTTCTTTCCACTTTCTTTTCCCCCTCCCTCCCTCTTATTCACTAATTTATTCAAGAAATATTAATTGCCTATTATAAGTCGGGGAGCCCTGGTGGCACATAGGTTAAGAGCTATGGCTGCTAATCAAAAACTGGCACTCTGAATCTACCAGCCGCTCCTTGGAAACCCTGTGGGGCAGTTCTACTCTGTCCTATAGGGTCACTATGGGTCAGAATTGACTTGAAGGCAATGGGTTTGGTTTTAGGTTTTTATTATGAGTTGGAGTCCCTGGGTGGCACAAATGATTAACACCGTGTGCAGATAACTGAAAGGCTGGAGGGCGAGTCCATCCAGAGGCACCCTGGAAGAAAGGCCTAAGGATTTACTTCCAAAAGCTCAACCACTGAAAACCCTATGGAGCACAGTTCTACTCTGACACACATGCAATCACCATGAGTCAGAATAGACTAAACACCAACTGATTTGTTTTTTATGAACGCATTAAATGAATAAACAAACAAAAAACCCAAACCCATTGCCTTCATAGCGACCCAATAGGACAGAGTAGAACTGCCCCATAAGGTTTCTAAGGAGCAGCTGGTGGATTTGAACTGCCGACCTTTTGGTTAACAGCCAAGCTCTTAATCACTGTGCCACCAGGGCTCTGTGATTGCATTAGGCCCACCCAAATAATCCAGGATAATCTTCTCATCACAAGACCCTTAGTTACATCTGCAAAGTCCCTTTTGCCATGTAAGGCAACATATTCACAGGTTTCATGGATTAGGATGTGGACATCTTTTGGGACCATTATTTCGCTTACCACACGGGGTTTTAAGGAAAAGAGTGATATGCTTCAATTAGGTTGTGGGGAAGATAATATATTTCAAGGTCAGAAAAGCAGAGTTGGGGAGACCTGTTAGGACATGACTATGGTTCACAGTGGGGGAGTGAGGGGCTTGAGTTGGAGTGATGGCAGCAGAGATGGGAGAAAGTTTTGCATAGGGTAGAGTCTGGAGGAAGGCCTGACAGGGCTTGGTGAAGACTTGGCTGGGCCCGGCAAGTGTGCTAGACACTGTTGGTGCTCACTGGTATACCAGGACTGAGTTCTTGCCAATGCTAAGTGGGTGGGAGTCATGAATGGGGCCCTAAGACACCCCTCACAGACTTTCACACTCTTCCTCTCTCTTCCCTTTCTGCAGCATCCTTGGAGGTCACCTGTTGAGGGGGAGCAATGTTCCAAGATGGAAAGGGCCTGGGTCCCTGCATG